AGCCAGGGGCTGCCGGCTTTGAAGCCCGGGGTTTGGGGGTTATAGCCACGCTTCAGCTTAGCCCGCTTTTGTCGTGCTGATTTTAAGACGACTGAAACCGCGCGTGGACGGGGGTTTGTTTTTTCCCTTTTTGAAAAGTTATCCCGTTTGGGAAGTGGCGGGCTGGCGTGTTGCGGAGCTGGTTTGACAGGCCGCGGACTGCTCTGGCTGGTCCTGAACCAGCTACGGCAAGTGCTGGGGGTCCCGCCAGGACAGCACTGGGGACTTCGTGAGGCAGCTTCGGGGGTCGTGTTATCTTTGACACCCCAGCTCTAAAGCGATCAGCCTTTCATTTGGGTGCCTCGAAGAAGCTCTTAATGCATGGATACAACACCTGATATCCCAGTTTTCTGTTACTTCTCAAGGGGTACAAACATTCTGCTTGCTTGGCAAATAGGTTAATGATTGATGAAGTTTAGCAAGAGCCTGTCTTGATAAGATAACTCTGCCCCACTGGGAACTGCTTTTTTGGTCACTCGGGTTCATCCTACCATTGCAAAAGAGAGAGGGGGAAAAAAAAGATGCATAAAATTTACTAGATACTTGCTTCCTAGCTAATCACTTTCCTTGGGAAAAGGGTCAGCTGAAGTGTCTGCAGCCACAGTCAACCATCTTTCAAGTCCTTTCATTAGTTAACTCTCTCCGGGCCTAAGCTTTTCTAAGAAAAGCATGCCATTGCTTGCTGCTGCTTCTCAGACTTTGATATTCATCCTCCATTCATTTCCTTACACAACTGGTTCCTACAGATGATCACTACAGGTGCCATCTTAGCTTTATATTTCTCAAGCACGCTTGCTCCAGGAAAGCCAAATCCCTTTGTTGTTTCTGCTGTTCTCTCCCATGCGTGCTGCATTCTCCACGTGCCATGACTTGTTCATTCTTCCAGTTTGGTTTCCTCCCTTTTTATTCCATATACATACTGGTAGTTTCTGAATGCTTTACTTAGAAAAATATCCGAGTCATTATTACCAAAACAGAATCCACCCTAAAATATTTCTGGAGTTTGGGTGACTTTTACCTCAGCTTTGGAGCAAAGGATCCAAGTGTCATTTTTTTAATTTTTTAGTTTTCTGTATCTGATCATCAAAGAAACAGAAATGTGTATCAGCTATCTAACAGTGACATTGATATTTTTCTCTTAAAGAGGGCCCGTATGGGATTTTTGCCGGAAGGGATGCATCCAGAGGCCTAGCCACCTTCTGTCTAGATAAAGAAGCTCTCAAAGATGAATATGATGACCTATCTGACCTTGATGCTACACAGCAAGAAACCTTGAAAGACTGGGAATCACAGTTCACTTGTAAGCAACTTTAAACCCATTTTCATTGATGGGGCCTAACTAGTGTATAATAACAGAGGTAATTCAAAGGGGCATTGCCTATTTAAAAATAAGATGTGCATTTGAAAATATTGTGCTGTGTGTGGTTGTAATTCCTAAGGGGAATGTAATGAAAGTGAGAAGAAACAGTTTCAAGTTCTCGTATTTGTGAGGGTTTTTCCTAAGGCAACAGGCGAGACAAAAATGTTCTTTATAGTCGGTCACACTTGCTGATATTAAACTGTTAAAAACTGGCAGGGGATGAAACTGCTTTTATATCTTCAGTTAATCTGACTGAAAGTGCAGTGTGTTTCTTCTGATGCAGTTTGGTTTAGCTGACATTGCTGGTAGGTCCTTGAACTTTCTCAAAGATTAATTTTAATGCCATGAATCTTACTTCTAAGCTGAGTATTTTCCCCTCCTTCCTCACTCCCTGTTGCTCTTCTGAACTTTGGTCTATAAATGTTCTAATAAGGTAAGAAGCAAAATACTGAAAAGAGTTTGAATGATTTTTGAAAATGCAGCTTAGACTCCTATGTCGCTTCTGAAAACCTGATTACTGAAAGAAACGATAATGGCATTTTTGTGAATGACAGCCCCAGAGCGAGCAGAGATGGACTGCTGTCTGTCTGCCCATCCGTGTCCCTACAAACAAAAGTCCTTTTCCCAGCCTTTTTCAGACTGTGGTATATTTAACTCCCTGGAAACAACTAATTTAAAACAAACCACTATTACTCCTTTTTTATTTTGCAACTCGTTATGTTAAAGGCTTAAATAAGGCAAGTTTTTTGGTTTATGCTTCTATTGCTGTTGTTCTCCCCCTCCCAAAAAAAAATGTAACTTGAACCCTTTTGTAGTTTGGAAGTTGCTCAGGTAGCCTCTTATGCCCAAGCAGATAATTATCGTATTACATTCTCCCACACCTAATACCTTTACTGATGAAGAATAATAACAGCTCTACATCTCACATGGGCTTTTAGACCAGAAGATCATTAAAGGGATCATATTTCACTTGCATAAAACAGAAAGTGTAAATATTGGTTATTTGTCTGCCTGAAAAGCTCTTTATGTGCATGATGGCAATTCTGTGTATATTCTGAGTTCTTACTGCTGTCTTGGAAGCACTTGATGATAATAAAACAAGAACACTGGGCTAACCTTTTAAGTATAGCACTAGAAATGGGACATCTTATTATGCTGCTTTAATGTTTGCAAGTGCAACATATGACCCTTAATTCCTTAGGATACCTATGTTCGCATACCCCTGAGTACCTTGTCAGAAACCATAGTTGTGAAAGGTCAGACATGTTTATTCCCAGAATGGTCTTCATACTCGGAAATTATGCAAATCCCATGTTAAGCAGTCATCCTGGAGTTGGGAGCTCATACCATGACCACACTGGAGTCATTACCTCTTTCATATACACCTACATATACAGTATGAACTTTCTCCAACATGAAAATCTTTGTTATACCTCAGTGCTGGGTTACAAAAGGTACACATGCAAAGCAAATGACCTAGGCTGTTTTTGTTTTCTCGTTTTATAGTTAAGTATCCCTGCGTTGGCAAGCTACTGAAGGAAGGAGAAGAACCCACTGTGTACTCGGATGAAGAAGAAACAACAGATGCAAAAGAAGAAAAAAAGAAAGACTAGAGAATGCAGTGAGGAACAATTTATTTTTGTATCTTAAAGGACCATTTGTAACATTCCAGTTCTGTTTTATGAGTTGCAGTCTCAACAATACACAGATGAGGTACAGACTTGCAATGAATTCATTTTCCTTGGAAACACTTTCTTATCTAAATTAACTGGTAACCCAGAAACTGCTTCCACAAAATCTGTATAATAAGAACATGCTTTATACTCCAAAAGCACCTGAGCAAAATTGAGCTGCAACTTTTAACTAGAAAGTTGGTGCTGTTTTTTTCTAACACTATTAGTACCAAGTAGGTGAAAATCCAGGCACTTTTTGTTTAATGTCCAGGGCTTCAAGCCTACGAAGACAAAAGCAATTGTGCTTGATTTAGCATTTGTAGGATCCGAACCATAGTAGAATTTCTTTAAAGCAGGAATCATGTATTTTGGTTTCCAGTAATGCATCATATAAGTCTATGATGCTATATAAATAATCAGTTTAATGGTGATGTTGAGTTGATATTGTTCTTGCCTATTAATTTTAATGTCAGATAAGACTGACATTTTAGAGAAACACACGTGCCCTTGAGTGAAGCTGACTAGCTTAAAATTCGGGACTCAACCACTTGGCAAAAAACTTGCCACAGCCACATATCTGGATTAATGTTTTCTGTTGTTTTTACTTTTAAAACACATCTGAAGTGTTACAAAGGTTTAGGTATCGGTTATCAAATGGACACCGAGAAAGGGTAAACCTCAGAGCATGACTACTATTCATTCACCTTTTATTAGCAAAACTCTTCATGGACTGAATCCAACAGTCCATCCAAAAGATGTGAAATTGAGGCTGTGGGGAAAAGCCAACTGCTGCTGACTCTTAGGCCTTCTGTAAACCGCAGAAGATTTGCTGGCCTAGCTCTATCAGCATCCCTCATACTGCAGATGCAGATTTCACTAGTGAGAGAGCACGTCTCCTAGTATTGCTTGTATCAGTTTCCCAAACAAAATGAGCTATACCAACACAATCAACTTCTTGCTGGTGTAAGCATGTCTGCTCTTGGGCTTTGTTACCCCCTAACAAATAGGGTAACAAAATATAAACTAAGTGAAATCACACTGCATCTGGCAAAGGGTGCTAGTGTAACCCAAGCCTTTGAAATACTTTTAGCTTGTTGCTTCATCTCATAGCTCATTTGCATACCTGATTAACAGGATTCTTTGTATCAAGTAACTAATCCACATACAAACAAGAGACCTAGAGGATGGCTTTGTCCCGTGAGAAAGATCAGTATTGCTGTTAGGCCTGGCTAACTATCGGAGACATTTCTGAGGAATTTTAAGGAGTAAATGGCCCACTGTGAAATGCCACCTTCCCCAAAATAATTTGGCTTGGATACTATGTTGCCTATGTGCACACTTCTTTTTCTCTAGTTTGTTTCTTTCGGCTGCTGCTCTTGGGTATCATTAAGCCAGCACAGGTCCCCCCCTTTTTTTTTAAAGTCTTCCCTTAGTCAAACAGCCCCTGTGTTCATTGGCCTGTGGGGTTTGTTCTGGGCAGTCTGTTTGTTAAACTTCAGTCTGAAGATTTTTTTTTTTTTTTTTTTTTTTTTTTTTTTTTTTAGGGTTTGGGTTTTTGAAAAACCCCCCTCTCAAAACCCTAATT